ATAGAAAATGTCCATATTGATGAGGTGTCCATAATAAGCATGTTGAATTTAGAGGAAATGTAAGGGTCTCTTTCGACGTCATCTCGATTAGTAGGCAAACGCTTGAGAAATTACAGTGTTTGTATGAGAATCCAATGTCGAATGATTTCCGTAAAATGGTTGTTCTGGAAAAATTATCAATTGTAAACTAAAGTTACACAGCAAAGGATTTTACTAACAAATTTTGGGGGCCGTTACTGTGCTTAAATTTCTCCAGAAGCTTGCTTTAGATTTTCCATATATTTGCATGCAATTTTTAATTTCCCGGGAAATTTTTAGAGACAAATGTATAGAAAATTTTAAAAAAAGGTTCTAGGTCTTCTAGCGCATGTAATGCCCTCAAATTTTTTCAGTAGAATCCTTAAGAGTGAAGCTTTAGTTTACAAATCATATTTTTTTCAAAACAGTTGTTTTACGGAAATTATTCGACATTAGATTCTCATACAAACACTGTAATTTCTCACGCGTTTGCCTACTCAGCTTGTCAAGATGGCGTCGAAAACTGTGACAAGGTCTATTAGCCCAGGGACAAACCAAATTGTCCGTAATAATGAGGTGTTCGTATTAAGCAGGTGTCCATGAAGTGGGGTTTGATTATATTAGATGGACACCCTTGTGGAATGCCTTGCATTACAACTTCACGCCGATTTAAGTGTCTATTTCAGAAATGGGCATAACCGCTGGATTTTGCACCCTGAAGGCTCAATTTATTATTCCGGACTTTCCCTTCGAGAGTGCTCATTTTGACTCGGTTCAAAGAAGGTGAGATTTTATGGCGGAAGACTCAGAAGCAAATTCAAAGGAATTGAACAATGGCTTAATTAAGTTTTAAAGGTATCCTTTTGTCCTAAATGTGTCAATAAAACTTCAGAGAATTGTCGCACATATTGCAGTAGAAGTTTATGGATTTAAGTCTTTTGCAAAACTTCTTCGACTTGGATACATATTTTTCAAAAAGGAGAGTTTTAAGAGCTTCAAAAAGAGATCTTGAATGAGAAATTTCGACCACTGTGGACCCAGATTGGATTTTTTTCTTGCCAAGGTTTCGAAGTACAAAGCTAGCCGCTGAAGCATTTTTCTCGCCTATCGCTTAATAAAATCCAGCCAACAGTTATCCATTCATTCAATCATAACAGTTATTCATTTCTCCAGAGCAATCAAACTATACAAGCGTTTCTACAAAATTATTTCAAGAAATTATGAACTCCGCAAGTTTTGATCTGTCAATTACAGCTCTTGTTTTGATTTTAGATATTTCCTGTCTCACTCGACTACTACACAAATCAAGTTGTCATGCAAATCAGTGAACTGACAATATGCAGTTATTTCGGGCCCTGCAGTCACGTAACTGAAACGCAAGGTTTTGTTCAACAAAAAAACTGAAAGGCAAGCAAAAACGTCCAAAAAAGTGAAATTACACTCTAATAAATCTGTGTCATCCCGTTAAATGCATTTTCTGCTTGCGTTGTTTACATTTTGAAGCGAGTTGTTCGCTCTTGATTGCAGAGCACAGGTTTTGATAATACTAAATGAATAAAAAGTTCTAATAAATACCTTCCGCAGCAATATTCTTTAAACGCCAAATTATTTTCAAGGCAAGGGAGTATGTAATAAAAAAAATGCTATAGGAGACGAGGTATTTATAAGCTTTAATCAACTTCAAATTTATCAGGCTTGTTTCCTTTGTAATACGGTGCGTGACCGAAAACATGTTATGCAACCAGAGTTGTCTGCCACGCTTAAAAGACTTGTAAGCGTTCCCACAGACTGCAGCAAATTTAACAGGCAAGTCCAAGTATTTTAATGGATAAATTTAATACCCATCAAGTAACAATGGGGATTAAAAAGTCAATCAAGCAACAAAATTTGAAACAAAAGAGACATATCGCACCTAAATCAAAGGAATTCCACTTTCTTCGGAAGGTAATCAACAGTGAGAAGAACAATAGCCTGAATATATGAATACTTGATGGCCCCAAAATTTGGGGTACACACTTAAATCGGCGTGAAGTTGTAATGTCTGTCCATTTATTACAGGAAATACCCATAAAGAGGCTCAAGTACTAAGACGGAATCCACCGGGAAATTGAGTTATTTGAATTTAACTCTGAAAATTTCTTGTGAAAGATGCAATTCTGTGAAATTTGACATTTCATTTTCTTGGGTTTCAATAAGAAATTTTCTTTACTATTATTACAGATAACTGATTACATCTTTAGCCCTTGGAAAATGTAAAAAAGAATGCAATATGCTTTAAATTATTCTGGTACAAGGTTTTTGTCCACTGAAAATCAAAATTATTCAGTTTCCTGGTGGATTCTGTCTTAAGGTCTAATGAGTAAAATAAGCCGTTATACAAACAAAACGAAATCAGAAAACAGTACTGTGCCACTGATCAACAGGTTGGTAAAGGCTGCCGGTATGCATTGGATGTTGATCATGATTCTGTGACTGTTAAAAAAAAAAAAACAGGCCAACGAAGGATTTATTGCTTTATTCTTTTCTCCTTGAGTATTTGATTGATGTTTTGGATAAAAACACCCCTCAGAAAAACCTGCCTTCTATTACTATCACTGACCCAATGAGAAAATCTCTCAGGCCAGCCCCATAAAAACCTCATCGATTTAGGTTACCGGGCGGCGCGGGGGGGGATATAAAATAGAGATAATACATATCGCGATGTAATAAATCAAGCTAGGCTTGGGCTCGTGTGCATTAACACCTTTTAAAATTTCAGTAAATTATCTAAGTTAAATAATTTCCCTCCATTAATAACACAACTAAGCGAAACTTCACTACATAAAAGAAAACCCAACCAAGAGTACAAACCTTCGACTTTCCGCCACAACGCCGTGCGCCATCTTGTTGAGCTCCTCGTGTTCCTCGCTCGGGTTTTCGGTGCGATTAATTACAACCCGGCGTGGCGGAACAGGTGATTCTGGACTAGACAGAGCCATGGTAACCTTCTGATTATAGCAATTTAGAGGAAAAAGCCATCATTTTTGGTATTTTTACACTCAAATCCCTTTGTTGTGAATATTCTCTCGTTTCCCGCATTTTTAATTGTTACCGCCATACCTTGCGGGCGCAAATAATCCTAGGCCCCAGCCCCCAGATCGTCTGTGATCTGTGTCTGGGGTTATCGATTCCACCCATCAGTCTCCCAAAGGACGGGAAATTTGGGATAGCTGTAAGTACGTTCAAGCAAGATTTCTAAAACCTGACGCACTCGAAGCCCTAAGCACCGCAAAGGTTTTGCTGCTCAAGAAGATATTTTTCGTACTGCATCAGTTCTTAAGCCCCCCTCTCAATCTCTAATAAGCCCCCTTCCTCCAATAAGCCCCCCCCCCTTTTTCTGGGGAAGAAAGTTAATAAGTCCCCCCCCCCCTCTCCTCCCCTAATTATTCTTCACTAATAAATGATAGAATGTACAATCAGTCTCGACCGTCAAACTTCGTGTGGACTGAGACAGAAAGGTTCATTTACCAACTCTGGAAGTTCGGATTTGGTTCTGATCCTAGGGTGCATGACCTCCAACCTCCCTAAGTACTTGAGCTTTTCCACTTTGTATTCTAGTTCTTTACGGAGAACTCATACCATCATCTTTTCTAAATTAAATAAGCCCCCTTTCTGTATTAAGCCCCCTCTCAAATGGGCTTGAAATTCCCTAGATCTTCATGGCCCCTCAGTCCCATCAACTCAACGAAAATTTTTTTCATTCGATCGTTGGCGGCTCACTTATGTTTTTTTTATTTTTTTTTGGACAAAAAACAAAAACACGCAATTTAAATAACGTCAACCGGTTACTGATGACTAAATTTGGAAGAATTTTGTGTTTAGCGAGGAAATGACGTCAAAAATGCAGCGTTCTTACAGGTTAATGAACTGTCAACCGAGAAGACCTGGGGACGAGGTTGAGTTGACTTGGTTGTGAACTTGAAAAATGGCGGACATTTCACTCGTTTCAAGAGTAAGAACTAGACGAAAAAATAGCTAAAAACATGGCAAGAAAAGCAAGAAGACAACTCGAAGAGCGACATCTGCTATTTGGAGAATATTTGCGGAGCTGGACAAACCTAAACGTACAATATCGAAGATGAACTTAACATCAATGGATCGATGGAGGTAAGCATGTTTTAGCTATGTTTTTCAACTGAGAATTATTTTGAATGAATAATGAAACAGTTATTGAATTCGGCTTTCGTATCATATTGAGAATTATGGAGATCTCGGAGGGTGTTATCCGCCTCGGCCTACGGCCTCGACGGATATATAACACCCTCTCGATATTCCATAATTCTTCATAAGATACTCAGCCTCATTCATTAACTGTTAATTAATTTCTGCTAATAACTTTCTTCTTCAATCTATTACCGCCCCGGACGAATCTTCGATAGTTTCCTTTCATTTTGCAATATTGCACCACATGCAACAACTATACTGCGCTTGGGCTGCCTGTCAGATCAGCTGGCCTTCCCTTTTTTTGCGCGCGCGCGCGTGTGAGAGTTATGGCGGTGAAGCTGCGAGGGAATTTCAAAACGTCTCCTCTTCTTTCCTAAGGTGAGCGGCTTTCCAGCTCCTCTGCCAAAACTCTGTACGCGCTTATGATCCCGCTGACTACGCAGGCTGCAGATTGTGAAGAAACGAAAACAGCTAGCATGTGACAGCTTAATAATTTGTTTTTATTTTTACGTGAGAGATCGAGGAATCTAAAAACAGTCTTAAAAATATAAATCTCGCACGCTATGACCCAGGCGTTTTGCAAGAACATTCCTGGGTAAAGGGCTCAGTCCTGATTAGATCCTAGGTGCCTTACTGCTAATACGGTTTTTGTTATGCTTCTAATTTTACTTCCTTTAAAAGTTTTAGGATTACTTTCTCGATATGATCATTACTGGTTAACTGTTTATACTCGTTTGGTCTGAAATTGTCTGATTACTGGGGAAGCTCCTTCTCCATATTTAATCATCACTAGCTTCAGGTGGCACGTTGTAATATGGACGATCTTCATTGTGTTCATTTAGATGCAAGTATGGTGCATCCCTCTCCATTATCACCTCCAGTTTTTCGATCAGTTGATAGAAACTGGGACGAGAGCGAGGTTCCTCTTTCCAGCAGTCAGCCATCAGCTCATATCTGTTATGGACAAAAACAAACAAACAAACAAACAAAAAAAACAAACCAATTGAAGTTAGTCAGAGTTCCAATCCATTTATTACATGTATAGACATCATTTTTCCGATTTAGTGGAAGAGGTTTCCTTAAGACCAGCTGGGAGCCACTCACGCCGGATCATTAGGCTTGTCGGTTTCTTGCCAAGCCTGCAAGCAAGCTCTCCATTTGGGGGATCTCCTCAAGTACACGCACGTGCGACACGCCAGAGTAAACACGACAGCGAGGGGCTCCCTGCTCGCGCGTACTCGCGCGGTTCGTTTTCCTCGCCCAAATGGAGAACTTGCTCGCAGGCTAATTCTTGCTTTGTCGATCTCTGTTAAATAACACTATCATATTACTGTATGAAACAAATATTTAAGCTAAGATTTTGCCGTCTGTCTGTTCAGTAATCACTTTGATCAAAGAAAACGTCAAAATCGAAACCGACTTGTCCTCTGGGACTTTCAAGGCTATTTAAAACTAAAAAGACGCACGGAAAATCGAATCTTTTTGTCAGTTCTAAGACGATTCTGATCAAGAAACGTACACATCATCGGAGCACATGTCAGGCCTTTCCATGCGATAACCAGTGCCAAGCAGTCGATACAACTCTGAGTTGGTCAGCGTGGGGTATGGTACGCCTCCTGATCACGTTATGCGAAAGAAAAAATATACATGTTATTATTTGAAAATACGGCTCATTCCCCTGCATAGCTTTCTCCTGTGAATGTCAATGTCGACGACTCTTCATTCCCCCGCACTCAATGATGCCGTCTTGCAATAGAATAGTGATTGAGCAGGGGTCAGAATTGCATTGAAATGTGTCTTCAAAGAAAACAGGGTGTTTAGTAATAAGGCTCCTCTTTCCAGAAAACAACTAATGCGTGCACATTTGATGCCGATATATAATCACTTATCAGACATAGAGCCTAGTTCAAAACAAAAGCGCCTAGCTCGCCACAAATAAAAGTCATCAGGTATAAGCCTGTTTCCTGGTAACAATAACCTTATTTAATAAGGACTCACTCTTTAAGTCCCAGTGTCGTCCTTTGATATCAGTCGCACAATTCAAGTCATATAACCCGTGGCAACAGGGAGGAGAGTTCTTGGGATTCCCCTCCCCTTGGAAGTTAACATGATTAGTGTCTGACGGTCTACTCACCCAATGTAGCCATCTCCCAAAGAACAACACCAAAAGACCAACTATAGAGAAAAGCACAGAGGTCGTGAATATTCCCACTGCATTAACATTAATTTTCCTCTCTTCTTTTTACTTGGTGAACTTAAGTCAAAAGGGCGTATCTCCACCTTTCCATGCTTTCGCCCTTGACTGAACCCTATGACACCGGGCCTCAGCTGCTAAAAGCCCTTAGCCAATGGCCTAGCAAAGTTAAAAGAGTAGGGATCGGAACTGAATACCAATTTAGGTGACGGGTCTGCCGCATAATCGTAACTAAATGATCGTAACATACACTCCGAATTAAGAATTCAGCAGACGCCGCTCTCGCTCAGGACTTATATGCAAACTATGTAGCCCCGAGTCGAAATTATATTGACAAGTACGAAATCAGCCACTATAACCACTGAAATTCTAGATCAGTTTGAAATAAACTCGCTGATCACGACTTTTAGGGAAGCTGACTGAGGTTTTCTGAGCAGTAATTTATCGAAATGTGTTTTAAAGAGTGGGATTTCTTTTATACTCACACATCACTTTTGGTGGTGTAAAGGCCTTGATAAAGTGCTTCGGGGGCCATCCATTTTACAGGAAGTTTTTTGGACTTCGCTGAGCTGCTCACATCTTCATAGATTTGTCTCATCAACCCAAAGTCTGACACTTTGATTTGGTTGTCATGGCCAACAAGAACATTTCGGGCAGCAAGGTCTCTGTGAACAAGATTGTTTTCGGCGAGATGATTCTAATTTTAAAAAAGAAAGGGAAAAAATGAAAATAAGTACCATATAACTTCAGTTACGGGGCTACTATATTGCCTAAAAAGGCATGGGTGAAGGCGTGAAAATTATAGGAGCCAATAATTAAAAGTAGAATATCACAACTGAACTGATCTAAACGGCTGATTCAAGTTCAGACAAAACATGCCGAATTTGGTTCGATCGACTATGACAATTTCTCCTCTAAAAACCATTAATCATCGAGAAAATTAACTTATTTATCCTTTATTTCTTGCCTGTGGAATAGTCTTTGATAACGATCTTTGAAGGATGAAAACAAAACCTGAATGGAAGCAACGTTTCTCAGTAAATAATAGTATAGTAATTACCATTCCTTTAGCAATTTGCCAAGCAAATAAAAAGAGTTGTTTGGTTCGAAAGTTCTCCTCCTCGTCTTCTTCATCACTGCTGAGATCCTCGTGTATGCTTTCGATTACAGTTGGCATGGCGGGTGAAGGCTTTGCTTGACTTTTTCCTGTTACCTCTTGGCTGCTTCGTAGTTCTTTGTCCTTTACTTTCCACTCCCCATCCTTACGAAAATTTAAAAACAAAATCATTAATGGTCTAGCTTAAACAACTCGAAGAAACCGTATAGATCGACGCTATCGCTAAGACGCAGCTAACGCGCTACTAGAACTCGGCCAACAGCGAGGTCTGATGGAAACCATGCAGCCCCTTTTTTCAAAGCCTTAAAAGCCCTTGTGGACGGCCATTTTCCAGGGGTTGCGGTCTGTGGCGAAGGTTTCTTATCTAAGAGTGGGATTCGATTCAGTTTTTTGTTTCAGGCTGTCTTTCAACCTCTTTAGTGGGTGTCCAATGTTTCGTGCACCGCTGGCGACCTCAGAGAAGAAGACCATCTTCGGAAAGTGCGTGTCTTCCATTCAAACCACTCGTCCAACCCACCAACAGACCGTATCAAAGGCCTTGGTCAGGCGCACAAAGAGGATGTACAGGCTCTGATTCTGCTCGCGGCACTTTTCCTTGATCTTTCCTACGGGAAATATTATGTCGATTGTCCCTCTGTTTCTCCTGAAGGTACCCTGACTCTCGGAGACGAAAATCATCCAGGAGGTGGTGTGTGATACAGCTTAGTATGATGCGTGCCATGATCTTTCCTTGAATACTCAACAGCGAGAGCCTTTGTACTGTGGTTGTCACAGGATGCTCTGTCATCTTTGTTCTTGTACAGGTGGATGGCGTTGGCGTCCTTGAAGTCCCTAGGCACTGAGCCCTTGACTCAAAACTGCTGCATCAACTCAGTGAGCTTGACGGTGATGACCTCTCCTCCCTCCTTAAAGAGTTTTGGGGGTATCTCATCAGCAACAGGTGCTTTCCCAGCCTGGAGCTGCTTATTTTTTTCTGGGTTTCCTTCAGTGTTGGGGGATCGTCAAGAGAGCTTAGAACCGGGCGCTGAAGCATATCTTGGATGGCTCACTGGTCGATCTGTTAAGAAGTTGGCTAAAGATTTTACACCAACTTTGAACGATATCAGACTTCCCTGTAAGTAGGGTTCCATCAGAAGATGGGACAGGAGCCATGGCATTGGAAGAGGGACCATATACAGTCTTCAAGCCCTCGAAGAACCTCTTAAAGTTGTGCACGTCTGAATATTGCTCCAGCTCTGCAGCCTTGTGTTGCCACCACTTATCCTTCATCTGTCTCAGCTCAGTTTGAGGCGATCGGGCCTGGCAGTTGAGGACTTTTCTTAAAGCCAATTGGTAAATGCTTCCTGCTTTTGCTTCAGAAGGCATGCATTTTCTGCGTTGTTGGTTTCAAACAAGTCCTGGTGTTTTCCCTCTTTCTGTTCAAGTGGTAATTTGTAAAATCGAATGCTGCATCTCTAAAGTTACCCCAGGCTTTCATTGCATTATTTTCAGTCGGTAGGCTGTCGATCTTGTTCTCAGATTTGTTGCGAGGGTTGCCTTGATGTCAGGGTCGGCACAATATGACTATTAATCACTCTCAAAGAAAAAACACTGACAAAATGTTTGAGCTAAATGTGAGTACAAGAACAGGTGTTTAACCAAGTAGACGTAATTGACAATCATGAAGTTTCTCTGTGTTTAGCTAAAAAGTGGCAGGTTTACAGTTATCAAACACGTATCCTCCCTTTAGCAGTCTGTTCTCAAAATGTCTGGGATGAACTAAACCACGACAGTTAAAGAAAGTCCTGGTGGCTTCACCGTGCGAAGTTTACCCAGGAAGCCACGGCCAGCGTCGAGTCTACAACTAAAATAGCATTGAAACGAGAGGTTGTGACGTAATTCATGACGGCTATAGCAACAGAGGACCTACAGCGACTATTATGTTGCGTTCTTCTTCAGTCGAAACTAAAAATTAAAATAGTTGTCTATTTATTTCGGGCTCTCGCCCCCCCCCCCC